ACATACTATGATAATATATGTGGCATTGTCCTTGAAACTGATTGGTCCACACCAAGGGACGGCTTTCTTTTGAGCCTCGACCCAATTGGTGCTCGATCAGATGACGCCTTTTGACGCCTTTTGGCGTCATCTGGTCGAGCACCAATTGGGTCGAGGCTCAAAAGAAAGCCGTCCCTTGGTGTGGACCAATCAGTTTCAAGGACAATGCATATATTATCATAGTATGTTTTTTTGTTTGCATTTTGACTGCATGTATTGTGGTTAATACAGACATTAATCCTTGTAAAAAGGTTTCAGTTTTGTTGCCAGAAAAAAGGGAAACCCTATTATTACATTTTGGTACTGGCAAAAGAGGTATAATGATGATTTGTTAACCTTTCCTATACTTTGCACTGATTCTGTTTTGTGTATTGTTTGTTGTTGTAACGTTCTGACCAATCCCGACAGGACATCTTTGGAAAAGAGCTTCATAGCTCATCGAAATCCTCCAGTATAAACATTCTGATTCTGAAATATTCTGATAGATGGTGGTGTAATTATGATGTTGTATTGGTGTTTATATATCTGGCCTTTTCACATATCCCAAAGTGCCCAGCGGGTTGGACAATTATCAAGGTTGTGCTGTTATTGGTCCAGCTTCACTGCCATTTGTCATGAGAACGTGACACGAGATGCCAAAAGGACATTTTCTCATTTCAATTTACAAATGAAATTAATCTGCATTAAAGGGTTCTCATTTATCATGGACTTTGTAAACTAATGGGATTCACCCGCAAATGAGCGTATGCGCACCGCTTAAGACATGTACGGTATTTGTTGTACACACATTGTACTGTCCGTGGGTATGTAAACAGTCACATTATCTACATATACAAAATAACATGGTTTAATTTTGGGGGTCTGTTCCACCAGAAAAGACAGAGCGATCGGGACCGAGGGGCGGGCTGTGGGGGATAGATTCAGTTGAGCGGAGCCACAGGTCTGAGAAATACTGTAGTGAAGTGGAGGCTGTTGCAGGGAGATGTGTATGCATCTCTGTTGGAAGTGCTGGCTATTCACCTTCACCAGTGATTTTACAACACAGGCATCACGTTGAGTTAAATCGTGTAACTACATCAATGTCCTCAAGAGACCAGGTCTCCACGAATATGCAAAAAAACCCTTCAAATCAAAATAGGTTCTGCACTAAATTCTGAAGAAAATATAGTTCTTGAGCGGGTAGAAAGTGCTGCCCTCTACTGCTAATGGACCAGAGGTCACCTGAAGGAATCTCATAGGTAGCTCCGTGATATATGCTTCTGTGGGTCAGTCTTTAATATGAAGTGATTGTAATGTTCTGAGATTCGAAATAATTCTTCGTCTTATGACCTAATGTTGAAATTGCTGGAACGTAAACATTTTAAAAATCGTATTTCACTGCATCGTGCTCCATCCACTGCCTTGAGCAACTGTTAAATGTAACAAATGTCAGACAGATGTGTAGAAAAACACGTACTTAGACGTAAGCCATCAGTTTGAAACCCATAATATAGGTAAAATAGTTCAACTTTGCCAATAATTCATGTGATCACATTTATTTTACACCATTTTGTTCTGCACTTTTTACAGAAAATGTCACTATTTTCTAGAACACAGTACAAAGCGTACCTTCATGAAGAAATATTCGTTTGACAACACCGATATAATTTACTGCAATTTTACATGACACTCGATTAGTACAATACTTGTCATTAAAATGTGTGCAAAGAGACTTCGTGACAAATCTATACATTTAAGAACATGTTTTCTTATTCTTATATTACACCCTTTTTTAATGGAGATGTTGAATTGGCAATTTCAGGGTACTGTAAAAAATATATAATATACAAGCCATGATCAATCATCTTTTCATTTTGCATCAATCATATATTTTGGTTACAAGACAATGCGAGGACAGTTAGTGTGTGTTTTTCATTAGCGTTTTAAGCCTTTTTTTCACTTTTTAAAGAAACACGTTTCAAATTTTATCCCGAAGCATTTTAAAAAACGACTTTATACTTGGATTTTGAAGACAATGCCAGGTTAAGAGTGCTGACAGCCACGAGTCGATCACGGTGTTGCCAACACCGCAACATTTTGGCCTCACCGACTGACAATGCGATACAGGTACACCTCGATTTACGAAAGGGATGCGTACTTCAAATAAACACGTGTTGAACGAAATTTCGTAAATCGAAATGGCTTTTCCCATGAACTTAAAACTAAACAATTTGGGATGTGTTTCAAACCAGTCATTCCAACTCTATTTCTAAGATTAAAAAATATATAAACACACCTATATCACTACTCTTTGGGTTTTTTCGGTAAAGTGACGTAGGTGACGACCGCTTGTGTTGCGATGGAAACGTCGTGAGTAATGATTTTTTTATGTTTTATTTCATTATTTTTCTACCTACCACGTGACTTTACCGAAAGAACCAAAGAGCATGGATTCCTGCAGTCACGAAAGCCTCAAATCAACCGATATCACTTTTCACAGCACTAAAAGAATAATAATAAGTAACATTAATATGAAAACGATTGAATCATAATTTATTTAAAACAAAAAATAACAATAATTCAGGGAATTCACCAAGAGATCAGCATGTTGGAATGACTGGGAAGGCAATGCGGAGGCGTTTTATTGTTGCGTTCGGTTTGGAGTTGAGGTTCTTTGTGGCGTTGAGGGTTGGCGATCGTTGGGCTGAATCTTCGTTGGGGGGGGGGGCTGGTGCACGAGTTTTAAGGAAAACATCGAGAGACGTCCAGTTGGATTTCCTCCTCTTTGTTTGGTGCAGCTCCTTATAACAAACGCAGGGCCACTCTCTGCCGTGCGAGAACAATTCATGCTGCGTTCCATATTTGGGTCATTGTCTTTGAGCTTATGCGACCAAGCTTAACACCTTTGACAGCTGTAGACGATATCCTTTTTCGAACTCATCATGGCGTAGATGGACGTAAAAAAAGATTGAATGATAATTACCACTGCTGTTGCAAAATGTACCAAGTCACTCGACCACGACCACCACCACACTGCAGGGATAGCGATGCCATCGCGGGTGGATGACACAACCTGCCCGGGTGGGTCGTGTTTGATCTCTTGGTGCGTGCCGTGTGACATTTCATGAACACGTAAATGCGATTTTTTTTTTTTACCGAACAGTGACCGTAATTTTTCGTTGTCAATTTCGTTCACGCAGAAATTTCGTAAACTGAACGTTCGGAAATCGAGGGATACCTGTAATCAACAACCGTGCATGGAACACAGCGATTGCTCAAAAATGGTTGAGACTATCACTGGTGATCGTAATTGCAGCCTCATCAATTAAGAGCATAACCGATCCCACTTTTTGTATGATGTGCATTTTGAAAAAGGCCTTTAATGTCCAGTTCTTATGAGTTCCAGTTATTTGTGGATAAAAAAAGGCATGGTTCGTAAACTTTATCTGCTGCTTTTATGTAAAAAAAATCTTCAATAGGCTCTGTTTTTGTATATATAAATGTGGATTTTTAAAAAATTATTTAACACCCAAACGTACCACGTGGCATTTATTAGATAGATTATTGAATGGCATATAATTGTTACAGCTGCCATATTCTCAGTAAAATGGGGGAATTCATGCAAAAGTGAGTAACAAATGTAAAACTTCTAATTCATGGAAAATATGCAATTCACACCATTATAGCTAATAAGTAACTATTTGTATTGTTTTTTAATCTTGCCAATGACCTTAATATAACCAAGTTAAAACCATATCGCAGGTGCGTATTCAGCTAACTAGCAATATATTATGGCAACATTGTCAATTTAAATAACCATAACATAAAACAATTACAATCCGAGCTTCTTCGTTTTAAAGTAAGACATAATATGTGTACGTGCTCTTGCAGCAAACACAATACTTGTCATCAGCAGTTTTGGGCAACTTGAACAAACAAAAATATGTCAAGAGCGTTATCTTACATACAATGCCATCACCTCAATGTGCAAGGAAAATAATACAACTCGATTCCTTTATCTCAATCCCAAGCCATCAGAGCCAGATTACATGATATCCCATCAAACTTCCGCATTGAAAATTGTGAAATGTGACAAATTAATCATATATAGAAAAAATCACATCAAAGAGTGAATGATTTATTTTCATTTTAAGCAAATAAAGAGGCATTGTGTGCCAACAGCCAAAGCGACTGACACGCAAAGTGGAAGGAAAAAATGAAAACCTGTGAAAAGACAATTCACTGTCTGTTCAAGAATATGCTCAGTTCGCCATTAAACGCACATCTCATTACCACTGTGCTCAGCAACTTGAGATGAATGTTCATGGGTACAAACCTTCAATGTTGTACATGACCTGGAGCTCTAAAATGCACACCGCTCCCTTCAAAATTGAAACTGCAGGTTAATGCACCAAAATTTCATTTTGTGCAGAATTGTTTAAAATGCTAGGTACCATTTTTTCATTTCAGATGATATGAGAAACAATTATGAATTCATGTATCAATGTATTCATTTATTGACTATCGGTATGTGTTGTGGAGAAAATACAAATGACCTGTTTGTCATTGGACTAAAGAAGACATATGATCATTAACAAAAAATATAAATGTGTTTATGTAAATCAGAAACTCATTTTAGAGGCATGTAATTGAAACAGATGTTTACAAACAGACAGTCAGATGTAAACTCGATATAAAAAAGGTACATATAGGGTATCTCACAATCGCTTTCAAAAACAAGGCATGTCACTGACCAGTAATGAGTGTGTGATTGAAAGAAATGAAATGTGATTTAAAGCTTTTGTGACTGCAGGGATTCATATTCTTGGTTCTTTCGGTAAAGTGACATAGAAGGGAAACAATAAAATAATAAAAATATAAAATATAATTATCACGACGTTTCGACTGCAACACAAGCATTCATTATCAGGTGTGAAATTTTGAAAATAACCGCCACTTTTTTCAAATTTTCTTGCTGTGGTTTTCACACCTGATGATGATTGCTTGTGTTGCAGTCGAAACGTCGTGAGAATTGTATTGTTTTATATTTTTATCATTTTATTGTTTCCCTTCTACGTGACTTTACCGAAAGAACCAAGAATATAATGAAATGTGTTTCAGTAGTGATAAAACTGTGATGGTGACACACGGCCTTAATCAGATTGAGAGCAAAAAAAAACTTCTCCGACATTAATATATTAATTCTAGTAATAGCAATTTGCTGTATATGTTTAAAACTGCTTTGCAAGATTGATAATACGTGACAATGATGATTTCTGCTGAATAATCCATTGTGAAACTAACTAATGCAACAATTCAGAAATGTCAACTCCATGCATTGTATAGGAATACATTAACACGGCTTTATAATTTAAAATGAGCTGGATGTATCAACAGCTGGTGTTGTTACATATTCAAATATACAACTATATACATTTGGATGTATAAATATATATTCCTACTGGATCTATTGTAATGTTTAATGTGAGTCTTTACTAGCTCATTTGGCCCAAAACACACCTGTCATTCAAATGATCCCTCAATTTCAAAGTTTAAAATCGTATTTACATTTTTTTTATTACCACAGAATTTACTTTTAAAATCCTGACACCATCCTTTGGGATTTGACTATCCTCCGTGGACACGAGTCATGAAAACAATATGCTCATTAGAGACTGGTAGCACATACACACTGAACATTTATTTAAATCAATTTGTGCCACATTTTAAATGTTTTAACCTGAATACATGTCGAGTCGTACTCCCAAAAGCAATGGAAATAATTTGGATTGGTTTCAAATAAATCTACAACCACTGTTAACTTCCCTAGCTTCCATAAGATGCACAAACCCTATTGTGCCCTGGTGGATTAAAATGCAGAAAAAAAATGAAGATAACAAATTTTTACTGTAAACACAATCATAAGATTAGCAATTAAATATGTCCCGTACATTGACCACATTCGCAAACTGAAAACCCACAAACACCAGTGTTTAACTTAAATTGCAAGACCGCAAAAAAAAACGCAAGACGACAATCAACGCCGCCACCGCCGCCGCCGCCACCACCCGTTGTGCCTACTCATTCCAGAAGACCCTGTTGAGGACCTTGTTGACGTTTCTGATCAGAGTGGCATTGTATCTCCACAGCGTGAGGTCCACGACCAGCGAGTCGAGCGGCAGGTCAGGCCGCTCGGGCGATCGGTAGTGGTGCATGATCGCGGTGTCTCCGGGCACCGTCTCCGAGATGCCCAGCGCGTTGAGCGTACTGTGCACCGACGTCTGCAGCACCGCGCGCGGGTTCAGGATCATCTTGGTCGGGTTGAAGACCTCCGGCTGGTTCGGCTCCCGTCTAATGTGGCGCATGATGTTGACGCCGGGGATGGCGTTCCACGCCTGGAACTTCGACCCAAACTCTTCCGATACCGTGTAGGGAAACACGTGGTTTTCGAACATGTAAATGTCGGCGCCGTACTTGTCGTTCAAGTACTGGATGAGGTCCTTCCAGTTTGTGTGCTTCAAAGGGATGATCACTTCGTCGATGTCCGTGAGGACCAGGTAGCGCGTGCTGTACATGTGCCGATACACGCAGTCGTTGAGCGCCGCTATCTGGCCATAGTAGTGCAGCTCGCCCGGGTGCTCGGGGTAGTGCCACCCTTTGGACACCTGCACGTAGTCCGTGATGGGCCACTGAACGACCTCGACGAGGCCGGTCTTGATGTAGTAGAGGAGCACTTTGTTCAGCTCTGAGCTGCAGCTTGTGTTGTACACCGTCACGCGGCCCGCACCCAAGATGCGGTACATTTCGATCGCCTGCACGAACTGCAGGACGTTACTGTAGTTCCCGAAGAGCGTGGAGATGCAGACGCTGAACTCCTGTGTGAAGATGGGGGGCATGTAGAGCCGATTTCGCACGGGCATGAAGACCCACTCGGCCTCTTCCTCGTCCGGTATTGTGCGCATGCGCTGGACGGACACGTGTCCCGGCTCGCAGTCCAGCGGCTCCATGCACAGGAAGTCGGCCGTGCCGTACGGGAAGTCAAAGTGGTCCGAGTGGATGTAGGTGCTGGCGGTGACCGTGAGAATCTCCGAGTGCCCTCGGCAGCAGAAGTGGCAGGAGAGCACGTCCGGCTCATACCGGTTGGCGATGCCGATAATGCGTGTGCTCTGACCGGCCTCGCGCTGGTCGTGGTACGCCGACACCAGGAATATCTTGGTGTCGCGCACGCGCATGATCGACGTGTTCTGCAGCGCTCCCCGTTGCCCGCACAGCGTCACGTGGTTTATCTTATCGGAAGCAGACCCCGGCTTTGGCCTGAAGATGGACGAGTTGCCGAGCACGTCGAGGACGCGAACGAGAGAGCCCGTCCAGCTGTACTTGTACTCGACGCTCAGCAGCAGGAAGACGCTGAGCAGCAGCGAGAGGAACAGGACCGGGAGGCGTAGCTTCATCATCCTCGAGGCGTGCAAGGAGACAAGACGTCTGGATCAAATCTCTAGCCCGCCGTCTCAGGGCGAAAAGTCTGATATCGCTGGCCTGTAATTACATTTACATAAAAAAAACACACACACACAGGGCTTCGCATCAAAAATGCACAACACTTTACACAATTCCATTTCAGGCAACCTCACTGAAAGAAAAAAAAGCTCGCCAAATGAAAAGACTGCATTGGCCTCAGGGCGGATATTTACAGGTACAACTCTCTGCAAGTGAATGCAATATTTGACTTCGCAATGCCATCGGCAGCGATGGCATTCACGGGGCCATGACGCAGCGAGGCATGGTCTGTGCTGCTGGCACCTGAACCATTCATGTGCTTCGATCATCGTCATCATTACTTTATTTCAACATTAACTGTGTATGAAAATGACGTGCATTCGAAGACATTATCCATTTGGAATGTGCCTCCATTTAATTGTGTATTAGGACTCCGTACAAAATAATAATAATACATTATGCACGCATTTGCTTGTCTACATGATCAATGAAACTACTGACATTATTTTATTCAAATATATTTCCCCTTATATGTGTAGTCCGTGTTACTAGATAGTTTTAACATATGTCATTTATCACCATCAATAGCCACGGCCTATCCAACTGCTGGACAAAGGCATCCAGGTGCCCGTCGCCATTCCTAACAGTCCCGCGAATGTCACGATCCATCTCACTCCTCCGTGGAAACTGTTCTCATCACTCCATCTGAGCGGAGGTCAACTCTCGGTCAATCTTTTTCTTTCCTTTGGCTGCCCTATTGTCTCCCGTCTCATCCATCGGTCACCATCCCCTTTCTAGCAATGTGCCGTTCCCCAAGACCAGCAATGTTTTTTTATTATTTAAGGGTCAAAAATGGCGTCTCAAATTTGCAATGGGTCTCCTGATTCACGCGTCTGCCGTCCCCGTTATGTAATTGCAAGCTTGCATCCCCTTCCATGCACACATTTCCGCCCGTCTGTCCATTTGCTTTGTTGTCAGTGTCCATAAGTGACGATTCAAAACTAAAACCGGGCACTTTGGCATATTAACCGCTGTTCATTCTGAAAATTCATTTCCCAAAAGCCCTGCCCCGTTTGGTCGGCTCTATTTTGTGATCTTGGTCTCTATTCATTGTCAATAACTGCCGTAGGTAAATATAAGAAACGTAATAATAAAATCGCAAACTAAATAATGGCATTTGAAAAACAACAGTTACAACAACAAACACACGAGCTATAAAGACGCACAAGTAATTTTTTTACATACTCTTTGGTTCTTTCGGTAAAGTCACGTGGGTATAAAATAAAATAAATTAAATCACGACGTTTCGGGCACAACACAAGCGTCCGTCATCAGGTGGAACAACCACAGCAAGGAACAACTGCTGAAGTGGGTAGAAGGACTCCCGTAATACGAGTTATTTTGTACTCGCAAAGATTTCCTCTACAGGCAGGAACTTTTGAGTGTTCAACAACCCACGGGTATTAATAACATCGTGTTTTACTTCACAAAATACGAGGGAGTAAAAACAAAATCAACATCTGCAATACTCTGGCCGGCACTGTGTATTGCGGAGGCCAAGAAAACATATTGATTGTATTTTATCCCCCCTCCATCCAAAAGTTGTTCAAAATGACTTTGTGAGATCCTTGAAAATAAAACTGGGGAGCGTGTGGCTGCCCGTAAAAAGAAACCAACGTCGCCATCCACATTGCCGCTGCATACGAGCGATTTTGTGATTTTTATTTATTTATTTTTATTTTCCGTGGCCAATTTTACAGTCGCTTGCCAGGCAAGTCTGCCAGTCGGGCTCAATTGGATTTGAAATAATCCATTCAATGTTATTGTTACACAGTCCTTTCAGCGGGGCACTCACCATTCCGAATTTTGAACACTGTGCGAGGAATCGCGTGTACGAATTAGCAGCCATTGACAGCGGGTCCTGGGTGCACCTTTCTCGCCGCACAATGGTTGCGACAAAATGCATCAAGGATGCCTGCAGTTTCACTCGAGTCATCGGCGCGGCAGGATGGCTCGGTCGTAAAAACTCGTGCCTCTTGGCAAAAACACCATGGGTGCGATGCCCAACTCGGGACGCCGTTCTGTGCACGGTTTGTACGTTCTACTCCAAGTCCGCATGGGTTAATGATAGGGTTTCCCCTTTTTTCTGGCAACAAAACTGAAACCTTTTTTTTACAAGGATTCATACCTGCAGTCAAAATGCAAAGAAAAAAACATACTATGATAATATATGCGTTGTCCTTGCAACGGATTGGTCCACACCAAGGGACGGCTTTCTTTAGAATGCAGACATGAATCCTTGTAAAAAGGTTTCAGTTTTGTTGCCAGAAAAAAAGGGAAAACCCCTATTATTACATTTTGGTACTGGCAAAGGAGGTCTAATGATGATCCGCATGGGTTCTTCTGGGTTTTCTCCCCATTTAGTTTATTATCCTTCACCTTCGTACCTCCGATGAGCACGGTTGGCTACGTACGGTGCGAAATAAGTTCAACTTACATACATAAAAAAACATATCACACGATGTAACCGGTATTGTCCAAACATCCCGATGAAAATGTGCCTGAAATTTACTCAATTGGGATTACACGCAGCAACATCGCCCCCTACTGGGGAACATTTGCCATGCCCCTCCTGAAAAGGAGATTTGAGCCTCAGTGACGCTCTCTTGGGTAAACAAGCGTAGTTTCAGTCATAATCAAACACATGAGCAAATTGACAAATGGCTCAAGAGTGACGGCTGCATCTCTAGCGAAGCTCTTTCATCTTGCAAAGTTTTTCATGACTGACACGTTTTTTTTTTAAATAACGTAAGATTCAAAAGGACAAACAGGACACCTTTAGCGTTCAGAGCACCAAGTGACGACACAAAGTACAAATATCAAATTTCGAATGGTTTAACCAATTGTATATAGCCGTTTGTCGATCCACTGCTAAATGAAGGTTGCTCCCTGCACTCTGCTGATCATAGGCATTGTTTGACCGTACTTCACCACACTGGTACGGTGCTTTAGATATCACTCGCCATCGATCCCTGGCAATTTAAATCAGGCGTACAGGTTCAGAATGCAGTGCTCTATCCACTGTACCACTGCTCCACCAACGTGCCTATGAACCTCATGATATAGTCTGTGTGTGTGTGGGCGTATATGGTTGGGGACCGGTAGTGTAGCGGTTAGCTCGCTGCGCTATGAACCCGGCGGCCCGAGTTCGATTTCCGCTCACGGCCAAAACCAGTGACGATTACCTGAACCGATTCTGGACCTCCCCTAAGTCGACTCAACCTCAAATGAGTACCTGGTGCGGTGTGTAAACATCGCCACTGGGGAGACAAAGGCGGTCGGGCGTGGTGCTGGCCACCCACCCCCTCGTGTACCGTTCCGGCCTTCATAGGTGCTCGCTAACAGCACTTGCCCCAACAGTCTGTCAAGGCTACACGGGGGATCTATGTATACGAGTGAGAATAACATTACATGATCCAATAACAGGTCATATAGGCTCAGAGTAGGCGACCTGTCTGCGATCTTATAAACATCTGATGGGAATAGACTTATTGAGGTGCAATGACATTCAAAACATGTATGCGACAGTGAGCCTCTACTCGTAGGTAATGTTTTTCGGCACGGAAACCGTGCGTGCGGATTTTGTTTCATCAACCTCGGCAAGGGCATTAAACCTGCGGTATTACAAAGCCTGCTGGTGTGCAGAAACAAAACCACGCCAATGGTAAAAAAATATATATTTTTTACACATCCCTGTTAACGTGCCAAGCTGAGAGAAAATAACATTCGTTAGCCAAACAAAAATGCTCACGTTTACCTTTTATTTCTCTCGGCTACCGGTAGAACAGCGAGTAGCAATTAAGTCTTGGGGCAATGGGCTGTAAGACATTGCACATCGGCTCGTTGCCACACTCATGCTTACGCCTCCGACGTTGCACGCGTCACTACAAGCGCCGTGAATTAGCGCGGGAGCGATAAAAGCAAGTTCCACGAAAGGAGCCGAGTGAAAAACGACGCCGTCAGGGCGCAGGCTTCTGCGCGGACACCAGGTGAAGGCGAGCGAGCCGTGAATTCGAACGCCGCGGATCATCGGAGCCAATCGACGGCGGCCAGCGTGCCGCTCGCCACGCGATCCTCCACCCACGGCTCTCGCTTTCACCCCACAGGGGAAATACATCGCGGGGGCAGGTGGGCGGGCGGGCGGGCGGGCGGGCGGGCGGGGAGCGCTTGTGCATTACTCGTTCAACCTGGCGACACGAGTTGGATTCCCCCGCCACAGCCAATATCATTAGCAGTGAGTGGGGGCGATGTATCTGAATGGCACTTGTGACACCGACGAACACTGACGCACGCGCACGTGCGGTGACCTGCGATCAAACAACTTCCTTCAGCCAGCAATGGGGTTCACAAAGGGCTGTGCGTCATTATTGTCATGACATCGCGCGTGCCGCTTTGCATCGCCGCTATGACACTGGAAGCGCACGTATTTAAAAAAAAAAAACTTTATGCATTAGTATTACTGTCATTACGCTCAAGCTGGATCCAAAGAGTGACCAACGTAGAAGTGAGAAAAAGGTGGCACGTCCAAGAAGACGACCTGGTGATGATGCAGGTGGTGATGAGGATAAAAATGGCACTTACTTGGACACATATCTAGGATGGACAACAAACGGAAGAAAAAAAAAAGTTTGTTGTTGTTCGAAAACATTTTAAGGAACCGGCAAGAGAGGAAGACGTAACAGAGAATGGCTTGACGACAACGTAAGAGATGCGTGCCAGAAAGATGTGGCACACACTTGATCATATTGGCACAAGACAGAGGAAAGTGGAAACAAATGACAAAATGTGCAGTGGACACTTACGAGCTATCTGCCCATGGATCGCGATGATTATGATGATGATGGTGATGTTTATATTCATATTCTTAGCTCTTTCGGTAAAGTCACGTTGAAGGGAAACAATAAAATAATAAAATATATATAAAACAATAAAAATTCTCACGATGTTTCGACCATGACACAAACGGTCATCATCACGTGTGAAAAAACCAACGGCAGGAAACATTTGAAGGAAGTGGCGGTTTGCATTTATTTATTTTTAAACGGTGTTTGTATTTATTTATTTAAAAAAAGTTTGCGCCACGCGCAGCGATTTGGCAGTTTATTTAGAAGGACTAGTCCATCTATGTTCTGAAAAGAGGAGCGGGGAGACGAAAAATTAATGTATGCTGTCTGAAAGCCACCGTAAGCGTGAACAATCAATTAAGACCTGAAATGGTTTATCAAATCCTTCCAATGATTGCTAAGCCAGAATCCATCTTCTCGGTTGAAATTGTCTCTGTGCTTGTATATGTGGATAGCCTCATGAGCGAATCTCTCATGGTAGCCAGATGGCTTACAAAGAACCTCTGTCTGGGAGAAGTCAATGTCATGTGAGCCTACTGAATGATAACAATGATCTGCCACGGCCGAGGTGTTGGTCCTACCGTGTTTAAGGTCTGCTTTGTGTTCACGAATGCGGTCCGAGACATGGCGTTTGGTTTCTCCAATGTAACTACTACCACAGAGGCAACTTAGTTAGTAGACACCAGGGTACTGTATGTCCGGAATCACATGGTGATGTTTGTTTACCCAGGAAAGCCTCACTCGTGACTCATTTTCTGGAGGTTCCTGCCAGGTGTTTCACAGTCCCTGGCAATGACCGCCATGCGTAATCCCACTCGAGTAACGAGCAGCGGAACGTTTTGGGCTCGTGTGTGTGTGCGGTTTACTGGTTGAGCTAGACCCAGTGAACCGTTACCATGTTACAAGAAGCTCACCTGTAATGGCGGTTACCTACATATGCGTTGTTTATTCGTCTGTACTTGAGATGGGACCCTTTGTACATGGTTTTTCAGATCTAAATTTTCAGGCTGTGAAAACAAACAAAAAAACAAGCTTTTCATGAATGGTCATTTAAGAAGCGGCAACAGTCGCGCATATAAAGTTGTTTCAATTGTACCGATAAGCAAACAAAACCACACGTGACTGCCGAGTATACCGACACAAAATTGTACGCAAAATGAGACTACAAATTATGAACCATTTTTCAATTATATAAATAAATACCTACTAACAAAAGTGGGCAGAAAAAAAAACATCCAATTTCAATTTGCTATTTGCAATTTTGCATTCATTATTCATTCCGATTCAGCCCACGATGTTGAACCACTCCTATACACGTCCGTTCCGTGCATATCCTTCACCCGTCACAACATCGGTTTTTTTGGCATTCGCAGGCTGGAGTGATAATCATGCACGCATGTGCATCCCACACTTCAATTGTGCTAATATACGATGAGCTAACGTTGGGGCCTCGCCCATTGGTCTCTGTGCCGATTGTGAGGCGCACGCAGAGAGCGGCTTTGCAGCACAAAGCCCAGCCGATGGATGCCGACAGCTGTGCCATTTTCCTATCCAAATTACAATCACGAGCCTGCCCGGAGTTATGGCAAATAAACGACGTTTGCGCTTTAGCATTTCGCATCATTAAAAATAACGCAATGACGGCACACTGGCGTGTGCCAGGGCAGTCGAATAGGTTGCGGGGAAATGTGGATACGCATCACAATTTTCCTGGCTTATGAAGCGAGCGGCACAGAGGCAATGAATAACTTATGTTTAGCAAAGCGTGCGCGAAACTAAGCTATACGCAGGCGAGTAAGACCTGAAATATGACGAGGAATAATGCATATTGAAACAAGCCCCAGACATTCTCCCATTATTGTCCATTGACCTTGAAAATACGATGCTGGGCACACGCAAGTGCAAGCTCGAATTAATTGTGCATCGATGCAGCCGGTATTGGGAGCGATGCACGTATTTATTTTATGATCAGCCTACACGGCTAGCATTTATAAACGTCTCGTTTTTTTTGCATGCCTTGCATGACAAAAAATGTACCCGGAGACCTAAAAAAATAATGCATGCATACGTGAGAGCATTAGGGTATAATGATCCCACCCTTCCTCCCACTCCTCCTGCCCTCACCCCCTTCTTGCAATGACTGTTAGCTGCAGAGGCCATGTGAACAAATCATAGACAACTAAATTAAGAGAGAGTTATAGAAAGTGGACGCCCCCCCCCCTCTTCCCCCAGATGTAGGGGTAAAAAGTTGATCCAACAGGTTTACAACAATTGTCGCCCCTCCCCCCCCAAACATTGTTTTACTCCCCCCCACCCCACCAAATAAAAAATAAATTTATTTTGTAGGCTTATAATCATAAAAAAATAACGCACTGACAGCACACTGGCATGCCAGGACAGTCAAATAGTTTACACGCCATACACACAATACGGTCAGTAGTATCTGTATACATGGGGGGGGGGGGTGAAGAAGAGGTCATCAGTGGGGGCGACGGGCAAGGCACAAAGCGCTGAGAAGCCCTCTGTAGGCGCTAAAATAAGGCGGCCATTGGCCGCCGGAATTCTCGTGAATTAAAACACCAAATTCTTACTCGTGTGATGTGATGCATGTATTCGTGAGCTTAAAATCGATGGTAATTCATGAATCGATGTGTTGTTCCACCCCAAATAGTTTACTTAATTACCCAGAAGAGCCGCGCTGAGTTATTGAACTTTTTTTTTCTCCCAGGAGGGTCCTGCTGCATTCTGCTTTTGTTTTCTTTGAAGATATCATGAGCCAATCAACGATGAGTCTTTCTTAGACAAGTGCCAGGAAACCGGAGCACCTGCAGAAACCCTCTAGGAGGTGAAAACAGATGGCGATTAGTCCGCTTGCTCTACCGCATTATCCTGGCGAGCAAGGGCATGGGCACCACTTCGCCACGGGAAGGGAGTTCACGCGTCACTTGCGCGGTGATCCACCATGCAAGGGTTGGTGGATTACCACACAAATGACGTGCCCATGCCCTCGCTGCCATCCACAGTGCTGCATTACAGGCAGCCACGTGCAGCAGAGCCACCATCGCCTGGTGTTCGCTACGTACGCGGGCCTACGATCTAGAAACGGTGGCTCATTTCGTATCCTTCACAAATGTAGCGTGGCATTTGCTTAATCATGAGCTTGTTCACCTGTCTCCAGGAAAAAAAATTCAACTGCATCGTCCGTGTGACGCGCTCGGATGAAAGCCAGCACGAGAGCACTGAGCAGCGTTTACATTTGTAAATGCTAAGAGCTTTAAAGCCTCGATATACGGTATACGTTTTACTGGCAAATACTTCAAGGGGAAATTAAAAACAAACTTGCAATGCTTTCACAGCAGGACTTGGCACCGCAAAATAACAATGCATGTCTTCCCCCCCCCCCCCCCCGTTATAGATTGCACGCAGGCCTCTCAACATCAATAAGGTTCCACCCAAAATTAATGTTACCTTAAAAATAAAACGTAAGAATTTACAGCCCATTGCAAATCCATTACTGTATGGCAGCCTTATCCACACAACGTCGATTATGGAGGTCATTTGACCATACTTCACCACACTGGTCAGTGCAGGTTGGTGAAAGGGAGTGTCTAAGACTGGTTCAGATACCATTTCAAATCGTGCTAGCTATGGCAGGCAATCAAACTTAGGTCGCTCATTTCAAAGTGCAGTGTGCAAATCAAGTCATCGATCTTATATACATGTTCATATATGTACCCATATATATACCGTACATAAAGATCCAGATGACCACCAGTTTGAATATTGCGAAATGTACTAAATGCACAAACAGACAAAACATGCACCGCATCTAATTTCATCATGACCAGAATGCTTGTTGTTACAAATTGTTAGCCATTGCGTTCGCTCTGTTGCTTTCGTTTTTTCTTGTGTCGGGGTCGTTAAATATCCCTGACACTCTTGTTGTTTTCTCCCGCCCTGCTGATCAGGTAGTATCTTAATTAAGCAGACCTCTGCTGCACGCATGTTTGCATGTTCTACTCAATGTATATTGACTCTCTAGATGCCACCATATGCTCAGTGTGGTCAGCGTGGGCTCAGCAGGTCATGTGATTAATCACCAGTGATGGCTTTCCTTACAGCTGTTACCCACCCTCCCCTGTAGCATGAACTACGCTACAACAATGTTTTATTTCATACCTCGTGTTTCAGGTCTGGGCTCTTGCTACCACCTGATAATGCTGGACGAAATCTCCAGTAAAGAGTCGAGAAATGTTTCGTAAAATTTTGTACCGGGTCGCTGAAAAATACAAAATAAATCAATTGCCACTTGTGTCTGGGTGACAACTTAAATTGTTTGGCTGAGTCGAGTGGTTGAGGGTGCATAGCCGAAGTGCATTATACCCTACACGATCCAACCACCAAAAAAAACCCCTATCAATCATGCTAAGAGGATATGGGCTGCATACTTGCTCAACGTTCAGCAACAAGTCTGCGCTTGAATGCCAATGGTGGGAAAACATTTAAGAAAACCTAACGTCATGCTGTGGAGAAAAGATTCGCTGTTGGCAACGCTATAAGATGGATCTGTGGTCGGCCGTTCCCGTTGCTGGCAGTGGGTTAGAAGTTCAAACCACGCGGCACGTTATTGATCACCACGGGGAAATAAAAATGTTGCCGTTTCTACTCCCGTGGCAAACGATACACAAACTAACTATACGTGAACGCTGGTAATACTATTTTAAGAAACATTTTAAATGTGCAAAAAATTACCGACGAATCGCGTTTTCTTTTAACCTATTGCTGCTTGGCACAAACAAGTATCGAAAATACCATTGCCGCAACTCAAAGGCAATTAGTCCCGCTCTTTCTTGTAGCATGGTGGGATTTTAGATGACAATAATTCAACCGAATTGTGTTTGTGAAAATGGAGTACACTCTGTGAGATGGAAGCGGGTGTGTGGTTAAATGTGCACATTTCAATTCATGCCACCAGCTTGAAACATAATGAGGTTTGTCAGAAAACCCCCATGTGATTTCTTGCCGGAGTAACATGTGTCTACCAGCCTGTACTGACAAATAGATTCTTACTTAATTGCTCTATAATTGCCCAAGACGGTGTAAAATTTAATTTACAGCACTGGAGTTCTGCATTGTAATTTCATTACCTTCGGATGCTGTAAACACACTCAGCTTCAATGCAGAGTTTTCACATTACAATAAAAATTCACATTTGGCTTTGTTTTTAAATGACACATCCAACCCAAAAAAAATATTATCTAACTTTAAAACAGCAATACTCTACCGTCTAATTTAACCACATTTTAACCTAACGTAATTTTATTTAGTAAATGCATTCAAATACATAAGGCTGCATACATACAGAGGCAAGCATCCATGCTGTCCTAAATGTTTCCATAATCTAATTGCATTTGTTTCACAATGTAGCAACAACAATTTCAACGTATTTTGAAGCACCCTTTGAAATGCCTTTTCACTTTGTTAAGGGGCATTATCGTGTTTTCCTCCTCCTGCTGTGAAGCTGTGCGTGCTTAATAGCCCAAGCCACGTTGTACCACGGTCGCACCGATGACCTCGTATCGATGAGCAAAGTATCGCGACGGGGTGGACATACATCGGTGATACATCATCGAGTCGTATGCTTACAATACATGCATGAAGTTGTGCGGGTTGTGTGGGACATTTCAGTTAATTTGCGTTGTATAAAATTTGCTTACTGGTGACCCTTCTGCAGCCACTGGAAGCCACTACACATCAACCACATGGCAAAACAATCAAGGATTGATGCGCGATTTGAATTGCGACCACGAAACCGTGGCCAATCGATTGCCCATTAAATACTTACTAAGCTGCCCTCCTATTGGTCAACGTACTCACCCACAGCATCCACAAGGTCAGAGGTTTCATGCGCACAATTAAAAATCGATGTATTCGTGGCATTACCATCCCGTTGGCTCTAAAGTGGACACTGTAGAACTCCAATAATACTTCTCTTTGTGTGAAAAAC